AAGGAGAAATAAGAAAGTAAGGAAAATGTAATATCCTTAAAAGTTGGCGTGACAAAAAGAGAGTGAGCACAGGGGAAGAGAAGAAAATGAGGTTAGGAAGAGCTATACATAGCGAAGGATAGTTGCAGGCAAGAAAGCTTGGCTATGGAAAACGTACAGTGCGAAGTACAACAGTTACTTTCTCAGTAGTCGATGAGCTGATCCAGGACAAATTCCTCTAGTAAAGTGTGCACAGAAAAGCCGAGAACTACAGGGGAAGGGAATCATTGAGGATTGGTTCACTAGATGTGTTGCCATGGCTTTTGCTGCATATTCCAGAAACAATATATGAATATGAGAAAAACATAAAACCTTCTTCACAAATGAGGTGATTGAATTGCATTCAAGTAACACCAACATACTGCATTTTAGGTGCATTGACCTGCATTTTGCAATATAAGTCAATTAAAAGGAGGTCTTTACCAACACAATGCAACATGTCTAAAATGCATATTAGTAATCTAGTTACTAATGCATGTGTTCTTTGTTTGCCAACTTTCTACCACTAATGACTCTTATCACATATTTACATTGTGATTCCATAGATGTGCAAACATTTATTGCTTAGATACATTGTTATTATCCAGCAATATTACAAGCAGTAGTGCATTAAAAAACAAAATAGGCTTAGGGAAATGTTTAATATGTTTTCTTTTACATAATTGACTTACACAAAATGTGACATCCCAGTATGTATTACAGCACATATCAGTGTACATTGCACAAGGCAGGTAGATATTCCTGAAGACCCCCTGCATACGTCGTCCCTTGGCCTCTGTCCTTTCCCTCCAGCCCTGCTGCAGACAGCAATACAGCTGCTTAATAATTTATTACACTCAGCTCAGAAGTTGTTGATTTACAGGGGAGGGAGACTTTGAGGACCCAAAACTTGGACTAGGGAGACGAAAAGTCACAGGCAGCATTGGGCCAGCATTTGACAGCTTTGCTTCAGAACCGACACTAGTGGTAAAAAATAGTCCAAAGGACTGAACATGTTTGGATCCATGGCTACCCCTATAGTGAAACAAGAGTGAGACTCTTCTCAGAGCACCAAAGCTTCAGGGTGACGTCACCAAGGCACAATAATACTTCTGTTTGTTCATTACACAGCTGTTTTTTAAGGGTTTTTTTATATAATGGGGCAACAGTATCAACAGTATGAGTAATACAGTCTAAACTATTGTATGGCAGCAGTATTTTGTATTAGGTATTGTTCAACCAACTATGATTTGATCCACCATTCTCTTCTGGAATATTTATGTGTGTGCCTGTATGCCTGTGTGTCTATGTCTGTTCACTCTTTGTTTTGTTGTTCTCTAAAGTCCATACCCACCCATCCTAATACATGCTTATATTAACTTATACATTATATTTTAATTGAATTCCAGCTGCCATGAAGTCAAAGCTTTAACATGTTGACAGCAAAATAAACAATAAACAGCCAGCCACTTACAGATTAAAAGACCTGATACATTTACTAACAAACATATGTTTTTATACCAGTCTGCAAGATGTTTTTGAAATATTTGATTGTGATATATTAAAAAATAACAATGCCTTCATCATGAAACATTTCACAGCAGCTCAGTGCTAATCATCCTAAAAATTCCAGAGATTCCTGAAAGTGTAATGTCCTTCCGAAATGTCTACAACAGTGAAAAATTACGGATGTAAATGTGTACCACATCCAAGTAATTAGCCTTTCATAAAGCGGAGTCACAAGGGCTAGAAGGGAAATTCTTTGAAGCAGCATGACCATGCATTATATCAATCAACAAATGTGACAGAATGACGCTGCATACATTATACATAGCCCACGGTCAATGCACTGTGCACCCTCACTTCACTTATTTTTTATATGGATCAATGTTATCAGACTTAATATACTTTAGCAAACTATATATATATATATATATATATATCTACATATACTGTCTATATGCAGTATATTTGTAAATATATAATTAGAATAAAAAAGAGAAACTAGTAATTTCATGTATTTATGTAGATAGACATGTGTAGGATATTAGCTTATTGTAAATTAATTTTTCTTGTCCAGTGAGGGACACAGAAAGTCTTACACCTTCAGGTCATACTACTGGGTACAAGGGGATTGGACTTTTTTGGCAAACAAAAAACTGTAGGACAGCCCAGAAAAACCCTTCCCACTACCAGCATGCCTCAGTCCATGGAGGACGAACATCTTTTCTACAGATTTGCTGTGTTATGACTAATTGATTTTTTGCTAGCACCTTCTACATCTTCTTCTATTTTTCTTCAGTCAAGACTTCTCTGCCTCACTGCTAGACCTCAATCTCTTCAAATGCAGCTTTTTGGTGTGGTTATCCTCATCCTGGCTTTTGGAGTACCACTTATGGACCCTGCTGGATTGAACTTGCGGGGATACCTTGGAAGTGACCTTTTTGTGCACTGAGTTCTGCTAAGTTCTGATAAAAGTTTGCTGTGGAGCAGTTTCCAGGTCCAAAGCCATTGGCATTGCCTTAGCACTTATTCTGTCATTGAACACTCAATGAATAGGCTGATCAAGCCGAGCACCAGGAGCTATCTCAATAAATTAGTTTGTTGGGTGCCTTTTAATCCTTGTTCCCACTGGTTTTGTTGTGAAAGGGATTAACACTGTGGGCTGATGCCATCTGCTGGATGGAGTGTAACACATGCAAGCGCTCTGCGCTCCCTTTTCCACCATACTGTGTTGAGGAAACTGCTGTTCCTGCTTGAAAATTGCCACTTGGAACATAGATCTTTGATCCATTTCTCACTCTCCTGCTACCAGCAGTCCGGGTTTCCTGAGTACCCAGGGCCTTGCCTCTTAGATTGATTTACGACACATGATTGCAACATATTTGAATCTAATTTTATGACCCATATTAGTCAGTTATACCCTGATCGCTTAGGCCACAAGCACACACTTCTGTGCCCTGTTCTGCAAATTCTATATTTAATTTGCCTATGGCCTTAGCAACTTCCAGGCCATTGGCCACATTAAATCTGCCTGATTTTGAGTCACTTCAGTCCTTAACTGATGAGCTTGTCCATGTGCAGTTGCAGTCTACTGCTATTACTCCCAAATTAAAGAAGACTGTTTTGGTTCTTATTGATGCAGCACGCTCCACTCTGAAACTAGAGGACCTGCCTAATTATACTACCAGTGTTGTTTCTAGCTGTGGGTTATCTTAAATTCTTAAAGCCAAAAAAGACCTTCCCTTTTTACTCACTTTATCCAATTGTTTATGCAGATTGAAATGATCCTGACAAGGTGTTTTTTCCCCCTAAAATCTTATAAGCCTTGTATCCTTTTAGTGAGTGTTTTGTGCAGAAGTGGTCTATTTACACTTTGTATCTGACTGAGTCTTGCCTTAGCAGGGCACTTACTCTTCCAGTAGAGGATCCACCTATCTTTTGGGACCCACCCGATAAGTGGTTGGATGTGGTTAAAACTATTTTCCTGCTGGCAGGCCCTACCTTTTATCCAATCCTAGCTGTGACCTTACTTTGTCTGACCATGTGTCACTGATCAAAACTACTTAAAAAAAGACATTGGTTGATCCCTACTTAGAGCGTGTGGAACAGATGGCTGTCGTGCTAAATATTGCAGCTATGATGGTTTTCTAAAAGCCCCCTGTCTTATTTCCCAAAAATAAATAAATACATATCTGACAGGGGTTATAACCCTTCCTTACTCTATCCAAAAAAATTAAAAAAAATGTTTGGCTTTAGTTTTACTTTAACCACTTGCTGACCGGGGCTGTCCAGGCCACTTTTCAGTATTCAGCGCTGCGGTACTTTGACTGTCATTTATTCCGTCATGCAACGCTGTACTGAAATTAATTTTATACAATTTTTTTTGGGACAGATAGAGCGATATGTAACATGTGCGGCGTAATGGATGCAATCGTCGTTTCTGCACGTAGGCGCACTCGATGCATGTTTGGATGTGTATGTGGGGGGCGGGGGACTTTAAAAAAAAATTTTTTTATTACCTTTATATGTGACTTTTTATATATGTTTTTGTAACATTCTTTTAAACCTTTTTTTTTCCACTTAACTTTATTGCTATCACATAGGGGGCTAACAAGCCCCCATTGTGATAGCCAATTTTCAGTGACGGGTCCTCTTTAAGACCCCTAATGTCACCTAAGAACCCCCAGAGAAGCTGATGAAGCAAACACCTGCTTCACCAGCTTCTCTCCGGTTTCTGTACCGGAGAGTGACAGAGGAATGCGTAAGTGATGTAATACACAGCACTTCCTGCATTCCGAAGAAGAGGAGGAGTTCAAACGGAGATCGTGTACTGATCTCCGTTTGATCTCCGGCCGCAGAGCTGCTGTGCTGGTCCCGGGCTCACATCGGGCACAGCGGAGCTTGGGATCGCCAGCAATGGATGCAACAGAGGGGGCGCACACCTTCCCCACATTCTTTTTGCTATTCTGTTCCTCTGTTGGAGTTAGAAGTCAAACCCTGTGTAATCTCCTCCCCTGATTGGCTGCTGGGGTGTGAGTATAGCATCCCGGGAAATAACTTGGGACAGTTTGGGGGGTTTGCTCTTTCAAAATAACCCGTCACTTTACCCTGAATAGACAGCATGGCAAATTCTCTTGAACCACTTCACTAACTTGGACAAAGCATGCGCCTATTAGATATCTCATTGCTTGATATAACCATATTTGTTTGAATGTAGTGATTTACTAATTGGTTAGGGAGGATGATGAATCAACAAAAAAAGTCAGCAGTTGTAGCTCTCATGTTAGTGAGCTATATTCCAATAATTGTTTAGAGACATGGTTATATAGAAGTAAATAAGTATAAAATAAGATGATTGGTTTAATGGGCGATTACACTCAAGGAATTAATGGAGCACTGTCCAGGGTCTTTGAGGAGTAAGTGTTTCTGAGGTTTTGATTAAGTATGTTTATTTTTTTTTTCCTTTTTCCTCAGATCCACAAGATGCCAAAGCTGAAGCACATGATTGATTAGGTGTTCCTCTCTCAAGTATGAAGTACTCACACCACTCAGAAAAGATTGCTCTTAAATGAACACATAATTATCCTAAACTCGTCCTGAGGACTTCCCTCTTCCAATTCATGAGCCAGCAGGATGTGGTCGCTGCACTGTCAGAACGCCTGCTTGTAGCTGCATACAAAGGCCAAGTGGATAATGTTGTGCAGCTTATCAACAAGGGTGCCAAGGTAGCAGTTACCAAGGTAACCAGAAACTGCATGTTTTTATTGTAAGCATTTTATTCTCCTGATGGATAGAGCTTTCACTTTATCTCTTTTAGGACCTCTATTTAACAACATAATTTTATAAAATGTGGAAAAAGGCAGACAAGGACCAAATAATTAGTCACCAGTATTGCCTGTGGTCTCTCAGCAGTTGATCTTTTCCCCAATATGACATGCCTTGTTTTCCACTGTCTCTGTGTTGATGCAGCTATCTTGGTAGAGGCAAGGCTTTTCAGAGTCTCCAGCAAGGAGAACAGTGAGCAGAACAGTAGTGACATCACCAAATCACACTCCACATCTCCTGAAACTAGCAGCAAGGGGCAGCAGTTCCTAACATGTTACACTGATGCTGGGCAGCTGTAGGCACAGATTGGCCATGCACCCTCAGATACCAAGAAGTACGCTATTATATTTGAGCAGGACAAAAGGTTGATTTTTCAGGTTACTGCTTATGCGCAATTACCATTTCCAAATGCTGCCCATAATCCCAGATCTACACTCATTTCAGTTAATGTTTCTTTTAAACAAATCCATCCAACCTTTTTCCGGCTAGTCAATGCAAACTGTGATGCAGATTGAGCTGTTTAGAGGTGCAAACTGCTTAAGGTGCGAGTACCAGAAACATTATTTCTGGAGGATATATTTTCCAGTGTGTTGGAAGATGTTTGAACAGCCTGGCTGATACTTACTCTAGCTACCTCCCTTCTCTCTTAGTAGTAGAAGTAGTCAGTAAAGGGAGCCAAATTTGAGCCTTGTATGACATTTCGCCAATTGTATAGGTAATTGTGCCATAATTTAAAAATACAGGAATGGACAAAATAATAGATAAGAAACAGTTTAACGATGAAATAATTTAACCACAGTTAAAGTGACACTAAGTTCAGGAGTTAAATCTTAAATGTATTCAAGTACCGTAACAATTAACAAAAATGTACCTGATTTCTGTATCTCACATTTAGTTTACTAATTTGTACTGAAATTGTAGTCCAACTCGGGAGCGAGTTTGGAGTGATGTCTACTTTACAGTACACACAGGGACCATGGGGAACACAAGTAGCCATCCTCCAGATGGAAGGACAATGTCAGCATTGATGATTTGAGGATCTACAACTGAGTAAAACATAAATAACATACATTTTTGTTAATAGTTCAGGTACTTGAATACATTTTTAAGATTTAACTCCTGGGTTTTGTGTCACTTTAAAGGCACACCTGCCAAGATGACTCATGTTAGGTTGATTGCCAATTAACAGTATATGTCAGCTAGTATGTGTGTCAGTTAGCACTTAGCACTGTCATTTGCCTTATGTTGCATGGAAAACTCGCAAATTCTTACAGAGTTCTAACAAAAAGTTGGAGCCTAAAATCCAGGTGCATCATTGAAGAAAACTGCTGAGTTATTGAATGTATTATAGGAATACAATATTGTAATATGTATAATTTGTCATAATAGGCTCAATTCCCAAAGCTAACACACCAGAATAAGGATCCCTAAAAAAGTGACCTTTATTTTAAGTCGAGTACAATGAGATTTGAAAAATACAGTCAAATGTCTAAAAGGCCTTAGACTTGTGTTAAAACTTTGTAAATTGAGCCTTTTGACTTTTATTTACCGTGGTGAGAACCAATGAAAGCTGAGAATTAGTCACCGGATGAAGAAAATTATGGTTATGGCAAATACTACGTTATCGCTTTTGGAATTGCCCATAGTCATAAAAATAATTAGGGCATATGCCAGATATGTTAGGGAAACATTGTGTGGAATTAATGTTTGAAACAGTCTTGCACAGTCCTGATACATGTTGAGTACAGTCACAAAGGTCAACAGGCAAGGAGAATGAACACATACTTGTTACTTGTTATAATTTTTTGCATGGGTAGAAATTGCAGTAATTCAATATTGTGTTTACTACTTTGTACCATAATATTCTGATTTGCATTGTACAATGCAAGGCACAGCCACATATTATAAATTATTTTATATTATAAATATACCCAATGGGTGTAAAGGGCTATGAATACGTTTTTTTCTTTAAAGGGAACCTGTCATGATTCTCATTAAAGCATTCCTGTCCCCAAAAGTTAGAGCTGGCGTCAGACACTGCAGCTGTCCTACGCCATCTCTAAGACTGAGAGCTGACTGATCATGTGATTGCTGGGCGCTCAGCTCACAGTCTCTACTCCCAGCACAGAGCAGTGGCTGTCAATCAATATCCCCCTCCAGGGATCCCCCCTGCCCTCTTTGTTCCTCCAGCGCTGGCTGGAGCTACAGACCGGGGCAGGCGTTACTGTCTCTGGCTCTCAGCTACGCGCAGAGCCAGCTGTCAGTCAGGCAGCCTGGGTGGATATTCGAGCGGCTGTGCCCCATCAGCCAATAGCTAAAAAAAGGTTTGGCTATACTTCCCTTTAAGTTTTTTTTAAGTATTTTGCAGGCATAAACAATTATGTTTTTAAACAATATAATATTTATGTGCTGCACTCAACTGAGTTTTCAGTAGCTGTGGGTTTTCAGTGATGATGGGTCATCATTATAGTATAGTTTTATATAGTATAGTATAAATATCATGCAGTATAATTACCTCACTGTCCCTAAATTCTGAACCATTTTTAGGGCTCATTCACCCTATTGTGCTTTGGAAATGCATTACGCATTGGTGCAATTCAGTGCCATTTATTCTGAATGGCACCCCAATGCATCTTGCCGACAAATTGACATGCGGTGCACTGCCAAAAATGCTGCATTCACCTTTTTTGGTGCATTGGGCAGCTTTCTTGATGCAACGGCGATAACACGCATTCAAGCGGCACAAAAGTGTGAATGGGCCCTTACACTACTATATTCTCACTAGCAAATGTCAAGCTGGTTGCATTGTTAGATAATGTTGGCTAGATTGCAAACTTAAGATGATATTTAAAAATGTTAAATATTAGGGTATTTTTTTAACGTTAGGGGCTGCTTAATAACTGTACGAAACCCATTACCATGTTAATATTGCATGCTTTCCTTGCAAATGTTAAAAAGCTTGCATGAGCCCCAAACATGTTTAGGACTTTTGCGCAGCCCCTTTACTGTTCATAGAATGAATCAGGGAAAGCAGAAATTGCTCATGGGAGTTGAGCTTTTTTTACCCTTGCCCAGAGGTGCTGTACTGGCACAAAGGCTTGTATGGTAGATTGAAAGCATGCATGTAGGAAAGCAAATAGGTTTCCTTAACTGCAGAGGTAATCTATAGTTCACTGAATATATATATAGATCTATATATAAATCTATATAACGGAAAATTGTATACTTACCTTCCGTAATTTTCCTTTCCTGGTGCATCGATGGCAGCACACCATGGGTTAAGATCCGCCCCTTTTAACCCACAGGACACGTGATAAATTTAGGCTTCTCCGAGCCACACTCATTCTAGTCGCAAAAAATCCAAGCCATGGCAGGGAGGGAAAAAAAAACTTGGTGTGCTGCCATCGATGCACCGGAGGAATCTCGAATTAGAGGGTAGGGAGGAAAAGCGTAGTCTAGCATGAAGGCTCACCGGCAGGTCAGGGCATCTGCTGCTAATGCCTGGTTGCAGAAGAATCTGGTCACAAAAAGGCTGGTCTTGCAGTTGTTTGGGGACGCAAATAGGTCTACCTGTGGCAAGCTCCAATGATGCGTTATCATGTTGAAGACCTCCTGATTCAGCTCCCACTCATGCGGGTCCACTGTTGACCTGCTCAGAAGGTCTGCAAGCACGTTCTGTTTCCCTGGAAAGTAGATAACCGAGAGATGCCACAGGTGAGCCTGTGCCCAGGTCATAATCGGCTCGAGTTCCCGCAGCATGGAACGACTGTGCGTGCCTCCCTGCTTCTGAATGTAAGCAACTGCGGTTCTGTTGTCGATCTGCAACTGTACATAACGATGGTGAATCAGGGAGGAAAAGGTTAGGAGACCTTTGAAGGCAGCTCTCACTTCCAGTATGTTTGAGGGTAGTCCCCGAGAGGGAAAGGACCACCAGCCTTGTGCCGCTAGGCCCTGACAGTGTGCACCCCAACCATGGAGGCCCGCATCCGAGGTGATTATCACCGGCTGTGGCGGGCAGATAAGATGACAATTCAGTAGGTTCTTCTGGTGGGTCCACCACCAGAGAGATTGCCTCATGCCCGCTGTTATGACAATCTTCTGGCGAAGATCCACTTTGTTCCACTGTTTCAGAAAGAAGAATTGGAAGATCCTCAATCTCCATCGGATCATCAGAATGGTAGAGGAGAGAGTGTCCAGAAGGCTTAGGCATTTGCGTGCAGACATGCATGGTGACGACATTGCCTGAAGAACCCTGTGTCGGATGACAACGACCTTGTCTTGTGGAGATGGAGTTTTGATCTGTAACCAGGAGAGCTCCCAGGAATACCAGTCGTTGGGAGGGGCTCAATTGAGACTTCTCGAAGTTGATCAACCCGCCCAGCCGCTGAAGCAGAGCGAGGCGCGGCTGCTGATGATGTAAGATAAGTGCTGAAGACTGGGCCAGAAGCAGGATGTCGTCTAAATAATGGAAAACCCGAATCCCTTGCAGTCTGGCATGAGCGACGAGAGGTAGCAGGAGCTTGGTAAAGGTGCGTGGTGCGGTGGAAATGCCGAAAGGAAGGCACATGAATTGGAAGTGCGTGCCCATGATAGCGAAGCGTAGGTACCGCTGGAACCTGGAGTGGACAGGGATGTGGAAGTAGGCGTCCGATAGGTCCACCGAAGTCATCCAATCTTGCAAATGAATGCATGGCAGAATCAACTGAAGAGATTCCATTCGGAAGGAGGAAACCCTTATGCACCTGTTGAGGTCTTTTATATACAGAACGGGCCGTAAATTGCCCGTCTTTTTCTTGACCAAAAACATGGGAGAGTAGAACCCTGAGTAGCGCTCCCCTGGAGGAACTTCGGTGATAGCACCTTTCTCGATTAAGGAAAGAATGTATTCTGCAAAAATACGGGCATTGGGTCCGGA